TACCCCAGACACTCCTGCACCTGGCTGTACACGAGACTCCAACCATCAGTATCACCCAATATTATGTTATTAAATTTATAGTGACACAGACTTCGCATTAAATCTGTCACAGACCGTGTGACAGGCTCTCCCAGAACAGTCAGTTAGTCAGTCAGGACTGGTGGTACTCATACAACTGACTGACGCAGCGAAAACTTTAAAACTCACTTAACCTAATCTAACCTAACCAACCTTTATACTGACACCACACAGACACTACCCAACATCTTACGTGTGTGTGTGTGTGTGTGTGTGTGGCTTCCCTAGCATACAAAAAACACACTTAACACTATCCACACACACACACACACACACACACACACACACACACACACACACACACACACACACACACACACACACACACACACCCAAGACTCTCCCTGTCACTCATCATAGCAGAAGAGTGTTGAGTGGCGCCACAAGAAACACCTGACGTTAAGTGTCCTCCTGGCTAATGCTTCTAACATTAACTCGGGGCACAAGACAACACCGGGGCGAGACCTGCCACCCACTCAACGAGGAATAATTAGTACTTGAATTATTATTTTTTTACTTCACTTTCGCTCCAACTAATAGGAAGATGTTTGTAGATTTGTTGAGTTCGTTAGTTGTTTTTAATGTGCCAAACACGAGGAAGCAATTGGTGTTTTAATGGTGATGCTGGGCGTAGTGGGTGTGGTGGTGGGCAGTAGGGATGGTGATGATGGTGGGCGTGATGGTGGGCAGTAGGGATGGCGATGATGGTGGGCGTGATGGTGGGCAGTAGGGATGGTGATGATGGTGGGCGTGATGGTGGGCAGTAGGGATGGTGATGATGGTGGGCGTGATGGTGGGTAGTAGGAATAGTGATGATGGCGTGGCGTGCCATGCGTGAGGGCGCTCTATATAACCACCACCGCCTCTTGTTACTGTCAAGAAGGTGGCTGTTATTATTACCTCAGCTGACACAGTGTTACGGTTTCTCTGACGATTATCATCCATTGTTGTTATAAGTGTTTTGTGGCAGCTGTCATGTGTGTGTGTGTGTGTGTGTGTGTGTGTGTGTGTGTGTGTGTGTGTGTGTGTGTGTGTGTGTGTGTGTGTGTGTGTGTGTGTGTGTGTGTGTGTGTGTGTGTGTGTGTGTGGCGCTTTCCTTCTCTCCCTCCCAACAATAATGCTGTAAGTGAAATATCCCTGTATGAGGAGGTTGCGGACACAGATGGTATTACTGTAGCCCACCTGTCACGACCACCTGTCACGACCACCTGAGTGACTGTAGCCCACCTGTCACGACCACCTGAGTGACTGTAGACCACCTGTCACGACCACCTGAGTGACTGTAGACCACTTGTCACGACCACCTGAGTGACTGTAGACCACTTGTCACGACCACCTGAGTGACTGTAGCCCACCTGTCACGACCACCTGAGTGACTGTCAGGTAGGCCACTCCTCCCCCAGTACTCCCTCACCCAAGACAAAGACACGCTCAATAACCCGAACTCTCGCCCCTAAAACTATTTACTTTAACTTAATTAAATTGATCTTACCTGATCTTAATTAAACCAAGGTATACATCAGGAAGGGTTTAGTAGCATCTGTTTACTCTACCTAATTAAACTTACCTAAACCCGACCAAGTTAAACTTAGATATGTGTAAGGATAACTTTAGTAACATCTAGATAAAGTTTTTATTGAACAATGGTTAGGTTAGGTTAGGTTAGGTTAGGTTAGGTTAGGTTAGGTTGATGAGTCCAACGTCTCCCTATGGAAAGGAGAAATCTGTCATACGCCAATAGTGAAAGGTAATTTGGTCACAACGCTGTCATCCCCACCGTGACTGAGGGCCAGGTACACTGCTGTTGCTGGAGATGGCCACAACGCTGTCATCCCCACCGTGACTGAGGGCCAGGTACACTGCTGTTGCTGGAGATGGCCACAACGCTGTCATCTTCACCGTGACTGAGGGCCAGGTTCACTGCTGTTGCTGGAGATGGCCACAACGCTGCCATCTTCACCGTGACTGAGGGCCAGGTACACTGCTGTTGCTAGAGATGGCCACAACGCTGCCATCTTCACCGTGACTGAGGGCCAGGTACACTGCTGTTGCTAGAGATGGCCACAACGCTGTCATCTTCACCGTGACTGAGGCCAGGTACATGCTGGAGATGGCCACAACGCTGTCATCCCCACCGTGACTGAGGGCCAGGTACACTGCTGTTGCTGGAGATGGCCACAACGCTGCCATCTTCATCGTGACTGAGGGCCAGGTACACTGCTGTTGCTAGAGATGGCCACAACGCTGTCATCTTCACCGTGACTGGGGAATAATTAAGAACACCTCAGTGGTCAATACCGTGCTACACTTAAGTCTTCAAACACCTCAGGAGAGGCAGTTGTATCACAGAACTACTTGGTCACAACACGGGTCTTCCCGTGATGTATCGCTGATCTTGACACACACACACACACACACACACACACACACACACACACACACACACACACACACACACACACCAACATTATCACTGTTCATCTTAGCGTTTCTAACGAACATTGGGGAGCCATAAATCATCGAGCAACTTCTTTTACAATTGAAAATGCTTTAAAAATAAATAAAAATAAAATCCACCACAGGGAAAAGCGTTTGACCGGCTTGTGGTTGAGAATTGGGTTTGGCCCAGATGTGGACTGGGTCAGGTAGTCGCCGTTGGATTTTACTGCCGATCACACTGCCATTGCCGCCAGCCTCTCCGCCTCCTAGCCAGAGAGACTTAAACATTCACTTACATTTGGCAGAGTACCGTAACTCAAAACATTAATTCATGTTAGAAAAAGGACAAAACAAGAGACATATTTGTCCTAGATGCCGGCCAACACTTCTTTTTCTACCTGTTTCATTTCACTTTTTCCTTCCTTAATTGTTATGAAGAGCGCGCCACACTGTCTTATCCACATGACAACTTCCTTACGTCTGTCACGTATACTGTCACAACAACTGTCTAACTCACCTTGATATCACTGATCCTCCAAAACTTGTCATTGTTCGTATCTCCCTACACTCGAAGTAATCTCCAAGCTAAGCCCTAGTGGCAGTGGCTGAGGAGTAGGACTGTCTGACGTTGGCCACCAGCAGCAGCAGCGACCGTCAAGATCCTGGCACAAGTCACCGGGGCCAGACATAGCCTACTTCCTCATCAGCAGCCTCAGTGGACAGTGGTATACCCTTGATACTACTCACCTACATCTTCAGCCCCCACCAACCAGCTGGTGACCTGCATGGCCCTGCCCACCAAACTGTCAACGCAGGTATTTTTAGATTTTCCCACAGCAACCCATGATAAACAGTACACGACGCTCAATAAATTGTACACTATGGCACTTTAATAAATAGCGAGAAGCATAAAATTGAATGGCACCCACGACAGACAGACAAAATTATTGACCAACTTTAATTGCACATGACTCTTGAAGCCCCGCCTCCCTCCCGAGCCACACCAAGAGGGAGCGTGCCCGTGACACAACCACACCCTGGGTATGGGGATACCCCAACATTATCGAGGACACCACATGTGATGGCCAAACATGCCCCGCACACCACCGACACCCCACCATAATCTTTCATTTTCTCGACGTTTGTTACTTTGTAATAGACTACACCAGTTGCCGGGAGTCTGGTCTCACTTTTGGTTTACTGATAAAATAATATGGACAATGGGATATTATTTAGCTTTTTTTGATGATGGTGTTTTGACCGCGACGATACACCTTCACGAGGCGGAGGAGACTGTTGGGGGATAACGGACACGGGTAGAACATGACAGGACAGACTAGACGAGTACAGACCAGCAATTCACTGCCCCCACCCCCCCCAAACAGGGAATGATTCACATTGTTCTCCAATCATCAATATTGTCTTTGTCTCAGCTTCTGGACCACAGTTTAATTTTCCTCGTTATTACCACGACTAAGTGCCTCAGTGTTCCTCCTACTGCCATATTCACGACTAAGTGCTTCAGTGTTCCTCCTACTGCCATATTCCCCACACGGTACCTGGTGGTGAGGGCACAGTTACATTTATCTACATTCTGCAGGATCAGGATCACTTGGGCATGCGACAGGTGAGTGTGCGACAGGTGAGTGTGGCACAAACGTTCTATTACCCCATTCTCTGGTCCTAGACGCAACCTGTACTTATTATACAGACAAAGATCCACGCCTCAACACCGCACCCACCACTCTCCACCCATCACCCTCCACACCATCACCCATCACACCATCACCCATCACCCTCCACCCATCACCCTCCACACCATCACCCACACCATCACCCATCACACCATCACCCATCACACCATCACCCATCACCTCCACCCATCACCTCCACACCATCACCCATCACCCATCACACCATCACCCATCACACCATCACCCATCACCCTCCACCCTCACACCATCACCCATCACCCATCATCACTCCACCCATCACCCTCCACACCATCACCCATCACACCATCACCCATCACCTCCACCCACCCTCACCATCACCCATCACCATCACCCATCACTCCACCCATCACCCTCACATCACCATCACCCATCACCCACACCATCACCCATCACCTCACCCATCACCCTCCACATCACCTCCACACCATCACCCATCACACCATCACCCATCACCCTCCACACATCACCCATCACACCATCACCCATCACACCATCACTTCACCACCACACCATCACCCATCACCCTCCACACCATCACCCATCACACCATCACCCATCACACCATCACCCATCACCATCACCCATCACCCTCCACCCATCACCACCACCCCTCGATCTTCGCTGTGACAAGTAATAGTGTGCTAATGAACACGACAAGAACCAGTGGACAGAAAAGGGAGTCCCTAACTGTACTTGTAAAAGGAGAACGTACTGTGAGAGGCGAATGATGGGTTACCAATAAGGAGGTTAGACAACAAAGAGGTGGGAGACATGGGGGTTGGAGGTTTCGGGGTTTGGAGGACACTGGGTTGAAGGTTTCGGGGTTTGGAGGACTGGGGTTGAAGGGTTCAGGGGTTTGGAGGACACTGGGTTGAAGGGTTCGGGGTTTGGAGGACACTGGGTTGAAGGTTTCGGGGTTTGGAGGACACTGGGTTGAAGGTTTCGGGGTTTGGAGGACACTGGGTTGAAGGGTTCGGGTTTGGAGGACACTGGGTTGAAGGGTTCGGGGTTTGGAGGACACTGGGTTGAAGGTTTCGGGGTTTGGAGGACACTGGGTTGAAGGGTTCGGGTTTTGGAGGACACTGGGTTGAAGGTTTCTGGGGTTTGGAGGACACTGGGTTGAAGGGTTCGGGTTTGGAGGAAACTGGATTGAAGGGTTCGGGGTTTTGGAGGACACTGGGTTGAAGGGTTCGGGGTTTGGAGGACACTGGGTTGAAGGGTTCGGGGTTTGGAGGACACTGGGTTGAAGGGTTCGGGGTTTGGAGGACACTGGGTTGAAGGGTCTGGGGTTTTGGAGGGCACTGGGTTGAAGGTTCGGGTTTTGGAGGACACTGGGTTGAAGGGTTCGGGTTTTGGAGGACACTGGGTTGAAGGGTTCGGGTTTGAGACACTGGGTTGAAGGGTCTTTGGGACAACGGGTTTGGAGGACACTGGGTTGAAGGGTTCGGGTTTGGAGACACTGGGTTGAAGGGTTCGGGGTTTGGAGGACACTGGGTTGAAGGGTTCAGGGTTTGGAGGACACTGGGCTGAAGGGTTCGGGGTTTTGGAGGACACTGGGTTGAAGGGTTCGGGTTTTGGAGGACACTGGGTTGAAGGGTTCGGAGTTTGGAGGACACTGGGTTCAAGGTTCGGGGTTTGGAGGAAACTGGGTTGAAGGGTCGGGTTTTGGAGGACACTAGGTTGAAGGGTTCAGGGGTTTGGAGAACACTGGGTTGAAGGTTTCGGGGTTTGGAGGACACTAGGTTGAAGGGTTCGGGTTTGGAGACACTGGGTTGAAGGGTTCGGGGTTTTGGAGGACACTGGGTTGAAGGGTTCGGGGTTTGGAGGACACTGGGTTGAAGGGTTCAGGGGTTTGGAGGACACTGGGTTGAAGGGTTCGGGTTTGGAGGACACTGGGTTGAAGGGTTCAGGGTTTTGGAGGACACTGGGTTGAAGGGTTCGGGTTTTGGAGGGACACTAGGTTAAAGGATTCGGGTTTGGAGGACACTGGGTTGAAGGTTTCGGGTTTGGAGGACACTGGGTTGAAGGGTTCGGGGTTTTGGAGGACACTGGGTTGAAGGGTTCGGGTTTGGAGGACACTGGGTTGAAGGGTTCGGGGTTTGGAGGACACTGGGTTGAAGAAGAAGCATGAGTCAGTAAAGACATAACATAGTAGAAGGAAGAGGCCAGTTCACACATCTGAGGGAGTGTGTGGGAGTCGGCAGTGGGAGGCGGTGCGGGCTGGGTGGTAACAACAGGCTCTTCGATGTGGGAGATGGGACAGAAATAGGTTGCTGTAGTTAAGGTAAGGCGTGGGCGAGCTAAGATGTGGAACAAGTGGAGGGTGAAAACGGTGAGGGCGTGGGGTATAGATGAGGCGTGGTATAGGCGGGGCGTGGTATAGACGGGGCGTGGTATAGGTGAGGGTATAGACGGGCGTGGTATAGACGGGGCGTGGTATAGACGGGGCGTGGTATAGGCGGGGCGTGGTATAGGCGGGGCGTGGAACAGGTAAAGTAGAAGCCCGTGGCAGAAGTATTGGCTAGCTCACACGGTCGTAACCCACTTCCCACAACTTCATGGCCGTTAACGAGCTCCTCTAAACCATTACACCTGTATGGCCCACACACCTGACACGAGTGGTTCTCATACTTACAACCAACACACCTGCAACACTCATACATGGAAGGCCAACACACCTGCAACACTCATACATGGAAGGCCAACACACCTGCACCACGTATACATGAAAGGCCAACACACCTGCAACACTCATACATGGAAGACCTACACACCTGCACCACTCATACCTGGAAGGCCAACACACCTGCACCACTCATACATGGAAGGCCAACACACCTGCACCGATGAAACTTCCAGCCATGAAAGCTTTTAGGCTTATTCTTACAGCCATCACATTTTCAACGCCAAAACTTGCCATCATCACACCTGCAGCAGCCTTACTAATAACAATACTATATTTACCTTCTCTGGGTCTTCTCACCATGAACACACCTGCGAGAGCTCCTCCAT